GGGTCTCGCAGGTGCGCGGCTTCCTCTCTCAGCTTCGCGGTGGCCGGGAGTCCGGTCCCCCCCACGCAGCCCCGCCCCGGCCAGCCGCCGAGTCCCGGCCCCACCCCGTCCAGGCGCAGTTTGGATTCGAAGTGCGCGCCGCCGCCCGGAGGCCGCCGGGAAGGGGCGAGAACCGCCGGGGGACGGGAGCGCGTTCCGCGTTTTAACTCGTTTCCCAGCGCGTCCAGAAGGCGAGCCTGGAGGTGATCTTTGGTGGCGGCCTTCCCCACGTCTGGGAGCCGTGCCCTGCAGCGGAAGGGGAGGAACGCTGCACCCGTCTCACAGGCCGGCACCTTTCTAGACGGTGGTCCCATTTAATCTCCACGACCGCCCCGTTTGGTATTATCGCATCACCATTTCACGCAGGAGAGAACGGTCTCTGAAAGCTTGAGGGGCTTGTCCAGGTCACGTAATTGGCACACAAATGGAGATCGCCTGGGCGTGGTTCTTTCAAATAACAGGGGTTATATGGTTGTATAAAAATGTTTAAACTCAAAAGTCGGAGTGCCTGGGTGGTTCAATGGGTTAAGCATTGGACTCTTGATTTTGGCTCAGGTTGTGATCTCAGTTGAGAGTTGGAGCCCCACCTTGGGCTCTGTGCTGGCAGGGCAGGGCCTGCTTGGGATTCTTTCTCCCTCTCTCTCACCCTCCCTTGCTCTGTGTGTGTATCTCTCTCTCAAATAAACCAAAAAAACCCTGAAAATGGACAGTAAAGCACTTTTGTAACCCTTTTCTCGCTGAACATATGATACATCTGTAAATGCTAATACATAGCTTGGTTTTCAGTGATTCACAGTTGCATGATATTATGGCTGGAAAGTTCTCATAATTCAACTGTTTTGCTAACAACGGTTATTTATTTATTTATTTATTTTTAATTTTTTTTTAACGTTTATTTATTTTTGAGACAGAGAGAGACACAGCATGAGAGGGGAGAGGCAGAGAGAGAGGGAGACACAGAATCGGAAGCAGGCTCCAGGCTCTGAGCCATCAGCCCAGAGCCCGACGCGGGGCTCGAACTCGCAGACCGCGAGATGGTGACCTGAGCTGAAGTCGGACGCTTAACCGACTTAGCCACCCAGGCGCCCCAACAACGGTTATTTAGATTGTAATTTTTACAAATAAATGTCTTCATACATAAATCTTTGCATCTTGCTTTATTTTCTTACAGTTGATTCATAGAAGAGGAGCTACTGAATACTCCCCTTCCCATGATGGCAGTCTCCCCAGAAGCATACCTTCCTCTCACCCTCCACAGCTCCTACTGTCCTTTTAAATCTCTGCTAATTTCACAGGCAGAGAGTGTCAATTCCTCGTTTGATCCGCACTTGCTGGATTACAGATGAAAGTGCACATTGTGCCTGTGTCTATTGGCCATCCATAACTTTGATGACTCCTTTTCATTTGCTTTTCCATTAAGAAAAAAGTAATGGATGCTTGTTTGCTTCGTGTGCAGGATCATGTATCTCTCACTTTCAGAATTTAATTGGTGCTTTCAACATCCTTTAACTTGTCAGCAGCACACCAGACATTCACATGGTTCATGGAGCGAACCGCAGACAAATTTAAAATTTTTTTTAATGTTTATTTTTGAGAGAGAGTGACAAAGCGTGAGCAGGAAAGGGGCAGAGAGAGAGGGAAACACAGAATCTGAAGCAGGCTCCAGGCTCTGAGCTGTCAGCAAAGAGCCTGATGTGGGGCTCAAACCCATGAACTGTGAGATCATGACCTGAGCTGAAATCAGCTGCTTAACTGACTGAGCCAGCCAGGCACCCTGACACCACATTTTTAAAAAAGTGTATTTATTTATTTTTGAGAGAGTGTGCATGAGTGGGGGAGAGGCAGAGAGAGGGCAACAGGAGACAGAGAATCCCAAGTAGGCTCCTGGCTGCCAGCACCGAGCCCAATGCTGGGCTTGATTTCACCAACAGTGAGATCTCATGACCTGAGCCAAAATCAAGGGTCGGATGCTTAACCCACTGAGCAAACCCAGGTGTCCCTAGATACCACTTTTTAAATTTACTTGCACTCTCTGTTGATTAACTTGAAACTTATTCCGAAAGCTTCAAAAATTTGTGATCTTCAGACACGTTCCCGGGGCCAGCATTGTAAGTACCCAGAGATAAGGAAATGTTGCTATCATGTCCTTTACTCTGTAATTCTGAAGCCAACAAAGTCATAGGACCGTTGGAAGATAACCAGAGTATATACCCACGTGTAAAACACCATGTAATTTGTGTTTAAATAGGACCCTTTTACAGGATCATGTATTTCTGTTGGACAGCATTGTTCTAGAACAATTATGTTCCAGAACGTAAGTGTGGTGCCGCTGTCTTTTCCCTTGGCCATACATTGTCCTACCACCACATATTCTTTATACAAACAGCCCTGCCGCGGTGTCTTTGATCTTGTACACTAGCTTGACACGGCCCTGTAAAAATTCTAGCTGGATACCTGAGGTATGCATTTTCCTTGGAATATGCGCTGACACAGCATTCTGTGTTTTGAATAGTTTTGATGATCCAACAACACAGATTTGGATCTTTCTTCCACGATCTTTCTTCCACAGTGGCAGCACTGTGAATTGGGGGACAAATAGGAAGCAGAGCAACTGGAATGGACAGTCTTGCAAAAACCCAGGCAAAAAATATTAAGTATCTCTGCCATGGGGACAGTTAGGAAAAGATGAGTCACAAGCGTTTAGAAATAATGGAGGGGCACCTGGTGGCTCAATCCATTAAGTGTCTGACTTCGGCTCAGGTCATGATCTCATGGTTTGTGAATTCCAGCCTCGCGTCAGGCTCTATGCTGACAGCTCAGCACCTGGAGCCTGCTTCTGATTCTATGTCTCCCTCTCTCTGTGTCCCTCCCCTGCTCACACACTCTCTCAAAAATAAATAAACGTTAAAACAAATTTTTTTCAAGAAATAATTGGTAGTGGGACCAGCTGAATGTGGGGGATAAAAGAAAGCATCTGAGGTCTAGGATAAAATTTGTTGCATGAACAAAACTTGGGTAGACAATGAGGATGTCAATTACAGGATTACAGGAAAAGGAGCAGATGTAGGGATTCAAAGTGAGGACAGGTTCACACTCATAGTGAACATGTTGAGTTGAAAGTGCCTATGGAAGCAGGGAGTTGGAAATACTAATGTCAAGTTCAGCAGCAAGATGAAAGCTTGAGATCTGGAAGTAGATGACAACTAAGGATGGAGAGGGGATAGGCAGAGAGATGTAATCCAAGAAGACAGAAGGACAATCTAGGAGACCACAGGAGGACAACAAAAGAGCATCATGGAAGTTGAACGGGAGAAAGGAAAGGCAGTTATCAGTGAGGTTAAGTTAGAGGAGGACCGAAGAGAGGCTCACAGATGTGGTTACAGCTCACAATTTTTAAATGCTGAGCCTGGCTGGCTCAGTCGGTTAAGTGCCTGACTCTTGATTTCGGTTCAGGTCATGATCTCAACATGAGATCAAGCCCTGCATCGGGCTCTGCACTAACAGCCGGGAGCCTGCTTGAGATTCTCTCTCTCCCCTTCTCTCTCCCCTGCTCACAAGTGTGTGCTCTCTCTCTCTCAAAATAAATAAATAAACCTTAAAAAAAAAAAAAGATCAAGGGAGAGAAAGGCCACTAAAATCATCAATTGGGGAGCACTGCTGACCTTTTTAGAAGCACTGTTTGCCAATGCCTGAAACTGCTCTAACAGGACATAAGCTTTCATTCTGTAATAAAAGACAAATGCTTGAAAGTGAAGTGCCTTCTTAGGTTAAAACAGTAATGGACACATTTTTTCTAAAAGGATAATGAATCACAAGAAGTGCCTAGCTGGCTCAGTTGGTGGAGCACGCAACTCTTGATCTTGGGGTCATGAGTCTGAGCCCTGCGTTGGATGAAGTTTTACGGAAGGAAGGAAGGAAGGAAGGAAGGAAGGAAGGAAGGAAGGAAGGAAGGAAGGGAGGGAGGGAGGGACAAGAAAGAGAGAGAAAAGTGAGAAAGAAAGAGAAAGAAAGAAAGAAAGAAAGAAAGAAAGAAAGAAAGAAAGAAAGAAAAAGAAGAAAAAAGAAAGGAAGGAAGGAAGGAAGGAAGGAAGATGGAGAGAGGAGGGAAGGAGGAAAAAGGAAGAAAAAATAATGAATTATAGATTTTTAGAATTGGAGGGGTGCTTACTGATCACCTATCTAATCCATCCCCCTCATTTTAGGGTTGGGAAAACTCTGGTACAGGGTGAGTTTCGGGGAGCACCAGACCGGCCCCAGAGCTCCTGCACAGTCCAGGCCACAGAACACACGAACCCCCAGTGGAAGGCGCCCCTGTACTCCACTGAGCAGACAGAAGTGCATGGCAAGGACTAAACATGACATCTGAGAGCAGAGGTTTTATTTACAATGATACTCAAACAGGATTTAGCAAAAGGTACCTGTTCCTCCCCCTCTTTTCAGCACAAGCTGCACTTCATCAACAAAAAAGAAATTTCCTGGGGGCAGGAAGTGAACGCTCTGCTCAAGTAACTTTCTGCTAAAGCCCACACAAGTTCCGCGCTCCCCAGCTCTGAGTAGGGTGGTTGGTGGACACTACATTAGCAGCTGGGATCAATTCCTGCATCCCCTCGGGAACGTGTCCAGGGAAGACGTCGACAGCGGCAGGGAGAACGTCAGGCTTTCACTTCACTCATGGCTTCCATGAGGCGAGCACTGTTTGTGACTGCCGTGGTCAGAAAAATGAACCTGTACCCTATGGAGTCAAAAGCACCGGCGTCCGTGACTAAGAGCAGGTCGCGGGCCCCCAGCACCAGCCACGTGAAGCCCTCGGGTCCACGGTCCCGGCTGGATCAGACACAGACGCATCCGCGCCCCGGTCCCGCACACGACGACTTGCAGCACTCGGTGGAAAGGGCGCCCTGCTATCCGGCCCACAGCCAGACTGGCGAGCGGTGCCGGGGCCAGTCGAGGAGGCTTCCTGAGCACTGCCCCTTGTCCCCCACATCCCACCTTCTGCTCCCT